AATATGGTTGCGTTTATGGGTTCCGTGTATTAGAACATGTACCACATATCTGTTGGTGAGGACAGGTCACCATCCAACCCACTGCAGGGTGCCATATGTTTGGTAAATTAAAAAATTACTTACTGCAGGGGCACCTGGGTGGCTCAGTCGGTTGTGTCTGGCTCTTAGTTTTGGCTCAGGTCATGGGATCAAGCCCTGCATGGGACACCGCACTCAGTGGGGAATCTGCCTGAAGATTCTCTCCCTCCATCCCTCCCTCCCTACTCGTGTGCATTCTCTCTCTCTCTCTCACACAAATCTTGTTAAAAAAAATTACTGCAGGAAGTAGAGAAGAACTAAAGTGGCTAGCACTAAAGTATACATCTGAGGTTTTTTTTTTTAAGATTTATTTATTTAGGGGCGCCTGGGTGGCTCAGTTGGTTAAGTGACTGCCTTCGGCTCAGGTCATGATCCTGGAGTCCCCGGATTGAGTCCCACATCGGGCTCCCTGCTCAGCAGGGAGTCTGCTTCTCCCTCTGACCCTCTCCCCTCTCATGCTGTTTCTCTCTCTCAAATAAATAAATAAAATCTTTAAAAAAAAAAGATTTATTTATTTATTTGACAGAGCACAAGCAGGGGGAGGGACGGAGGAAGAAGGAAAGAGAGGTCTTAAACAGACTCCACGCTGAGCATGGAGCTCAGTGCGGCGCCTCGATCTCATGACCCTCAGATCACCACCTGAGCTGAAACAGAGTTGGACACTTAACAGACTGCACCACCCTGGTGCCCCAATTTTTTTTTTTTTTTAATGCTGGCTATTATGTTAAATCCTTCCGCATGAACTGTTTCATTTGAGCACAAAATAATGTGGTAGAAAGAGAATTGGATTTAGAGTTAGAAGACTTGGATCTGATACCTCTTAAAAATTCTGTGACTGTCACAAGTCCCTTAACTTTTCTGAGCTTTGGTTTTCTCTCTCTACAATGAAAATATTTGCTCTCACAGCATGTTGGAGGGACCATAGTGACATAGTGACATAGTGACATAAGGCACTATAACAAACTGTTTCCCCGATCAGACAGAAGCTATAGGGTGAGAGTGGGGCAGATATCTAGTTTCACTCTGTATAATCTCGGGAAACCCAGGCTCTGGGCATCCTCAGTGACTCCAAGAACACTTGATCTTGGTTGGGGTGACGTGCAAGTAAGATAACGCTGTTTAGTTTTCTAGTCCGATTAGTTCATACTTTCCCTGTTGAGGATGTTACTGGGTGGCTGCTGACAGGGATGCCCACTGGTGAGCCAGGAGTTGGGGCAACCCGCACCTTGCTCTTCACATCAAAGCATAAACGTCTGTCTTGCTGCTAAAAACAAGCAGCAGTTGGGACTGCACAGCTGTGGGTCATACCCCTTCTGTGAGCGCTCACTTGCTGTGCCCTTCCCTCTTCCTTCTTCCTTCTTCCATCCTTACCAGTACTCATTATGGCCTTTTTTTGTAAAGTTGTGCCTTACCACTCTCTTTAGTTTTCTGGAGGGAAATCTGAGAAGGGCTGGCAAAATATTCTTCCTCACTTGCTCAGGGCCTCTTGTCCAGACTGAACTTGGAAGAAGGAGGCAGCTTGCACCCACTGAGAGACAGGGGCTGTATGGGCTGGTCTAGTACATGGTTTCCATTGGCCACGGGTCCATGAAAAGTTCTTTCATCTCCAGGTTGGGAAATGAGTGGTCCAGGCCTGAAAGTGGGTCTCGTGTCTCAAAACCAAAAGTATCTGCTGTCTGCCTGTCACACTACCAGAATAACTTTAGAGAATCACTCTTAGAGACTTAGGGACTTGGGAGCCTCTTGAACAGCGGCAGGGGACTAGTTCCATGGACCACTGACCATGTGAGCCTTTGAGAGTTCTGTACCTCCCTGCACCCCACCTCACCATGCTCCTCTCACTACAGGGAGGCCTGCCCCGCGTCTCCCGTTCCCAAAGCAGGCGTCCTTGCCCGTCCTCCCCGCTTCATCCCCGCTGCGCTTCGCACGTCAAATTCTCTCTCCTTCCCGCTGCACACTTGCCCTCTGCCTTGCTCTCTCACCCATTCCCAGGCCACCTGTGGGGTGCTGCCTCTCACCCCTCAGCTCCTACCGTTGTCTGCTCAGCCTGCCCCCACACAGTCCCTGCTTCTCTCCATCACACAGGTCATCAGTCCTGCATTCCTCCCTTCAAAATCTTTCACCCAAGTCCCGACCCCATTCTGCGTGTAGGGCTCATCCAGCCCCTCTGCTGTGAGTCTTTTCAGACAGACCGTGGGTCACGTGGCTCTTACTTGAGCACATTTTTTTTTTTTTAACCATTTTGAGCCTGTTCCTCAGGAAATGCAGGCAACAGCTGACAAGGTGATGCAGGTACCTCAGGGAGTGGCGAGTATGAAGATGCTCCCTATAAGGGGTAGCTCTTAGGAGTACAGGGGATGACACTTGTAGTATTTTCTGATTGCTTAACTCCGGCTGGGCCTTGTGCTTAGGATAGTCTGCTCTTGTCCTCCTATCTCTAACCCGCTCCTTCACTCCTTTGCACATCATCCAAAATCCCAAGTCATTCACAAGTTTGTCTCAGTTGCCTGGAAGGTTTCAGGGTTTTTGGCCTGCTCCTTCTGCGGACTTCCCTGGATGTGCGGCCACGCTGTACATGTGTGGGCTGTGTGACATACAACAGATTGGATAGTAGCTCCTGGAATCTCCATGTCACTCCCTAGATGGATGGGCTCTCCATCGCTGCCTAAATGTGCCCCAGCACTGTGGCACAGGGCCCAGCAGCTTGGCTTCGATGCTCAGCTGGTATGAGGGGGTGGCAATGTCTGCCCCACAGTGAGTTCAGTGCCTGCTCTTGCCTTCTGTGTGCAGTTTGACCAAGCTGTCCCCCAGTGGACGGACCTTGGGGGCTCCTGTGCTGGGCTCTTGCCTTTTTGCATTATAGCTCACGGAAAGGTGGGCCTGAGAGCCCCCGACTTGATGTCCTTTTTATTCTGAGGCATAATGTTGATATATTTTGCTTTCTAAAAATTGTCCCCCAAAGCCAGTAGACCACCTCTTCCTCTGACTCTTGAACTTCTGGAGTGCTCTTCACTGACACCCCAGTAGTGAGGGGCTTCTGTCCCTGGGTCCTGGGTCAGGGAACAGACACTGGAGATAGGTGGTGTGAGGCTTGAAACTTCATGTGTCTTTCTCTTTTTTTTAAGATTTTATTTATTTATTTGACAGAGAGACACAGTGAGAGAGGGAACACAAGCAGGGGGAGTGGGAGAGGGAGAAGCAGGCTTCCCGCTGAGCAGGGAGCCCGATGCAGGGCTCGATCCCAGGACCCTGGGATCATGACCTGAGCTGAAGGCAGACGCTTAACGCCTGAGCCACCCAGGCGCCGCTTGGGTGTCTTTCTTAAGACAGACCTTTTTCTAAACAGTGACCAAGAACTCCCCTTAGGTTATCTCCAAATTTACAAGACTGGACCTCAAACATTCTTACTTCCAGCTTTCTCAGAACTGTCTAGAAACCTGTATTTAGTTTCATACAACTGACCTTACAGAGATACTGAAGTCCCTAGATTTAAAAACAAAATACCATAGATTCTCTTTCCTTATTCTTTTTTTTTTTTTTAAAGATTTTATTTATTTAATAGAGAGAGAGACAGCGAGAGAGGGAACACAAGCAGAGGGAGTGGGAGAGGAGGGAGCCCGATGCGGGGCTCGATCCCAGGACCCTGGGACCATGACCTGAGCCGAAGGCAGTCGCTTAACCAACTGAGCCACCCAGGTGCCCCTTCTCTTTCTTTACTCTATAGAGAGTATAATTTGCTGAGAGAGAGAGAGAAGCATGTGCTTCAACCCTAGTGTGTGCCCATTAAACTATTCTCCTTTGTAGCTCCTTAAAAACCAAGCCCAGCAGCCAAACCACTGAGTTTAAGAACAAATAAATATTCATCATATCTAAAGCAAGATTGGCAAACTACAACCTGTGGGCCAACTCTGGCTCATCTCCTGTTTTTGTATGGACTGCAGACTAAGAATGGTTTTTACAGTTTAAATGGTTGGGGGAAACTCAACAGAAGAATGTTTATATCTCATGAAGATTATGTGAAATTCACATTTCAGAGTCCATAAATAAAGATATATTGGGACACAGTCTCACATATTTGTTATCTGTGACACCTGTATGTCATCTTTGACTGCCTTCATACTACAATGACAAAGTTGAATAGCTGTGCCAGAGACCATACGGTCTGAAGGTCCAAATATTTACTGTCTGGCTCTACAGAAAAAGTTTGCTGAAAGTCCTGACGGCTCAGTATGAAACTGCAGACAGGAGGTATTTTACTGTTCTTGTGTCTGGTGTCTCCTCTTGTTAATTTCAAACCAGTAGGAAGAGATGAAGGGGTCATCTGTTTTTCTCGCAAGCCCCCCACCTCCCCACCACAGTGTTTCATGGTGGGGGCTAGAAGGAGATAACGTTTTTGTGAACAGGACTTGGAACTTCCGATCAGAATCTCTTTTTAATGTTGATTTCACAGTTGTGACCAATATCCTTTCACACATACCCTCCCACGAAGCCCCTGTGTGAAGCTCAGTCTTGACTGAGTTACTATCCTTGGACTGTGCACTAACTTGCTGTGAAAGTCCGCTCCATCCCATGTGGCCTGTGCTTGGTATTTTGTGCCCTCAGGAAGATGTATGACAAGCCACTGTCCACACAGACTAACCAAAACAAATGTTTTCTTTTAGGGTGCTTTTCTTGTAATTGCTTCTTAGAGCTACCTGCCTGTACCAGGGTTTAGGGTAGTCATTCGCTCCATAGATTGCCCCATTATCCTTCCTCCTCCCCAAAAATGAAAATCTGGACATAGAGATTATTACAGATTATTGCTCTGTTGGTATTTCAGATCCTTCAGAGGGTTAGGTATTTGTATTTAGCAGCCCTGGCCATTGACTTGATCCCTTTCTCCCTAGTACACTTACCTTAATACTTTAAATCTCCTTCCACAGGTCAGATACCAGGTCCAGGTTCCATGATCCCTGGGCAGCCCATGCCAGGCCGCATGATTCCCACCGTTGCAGCCAACATCCACCCCCCCGGAAGTGGCCCAGCCCCTCCTGGTATGCCTCCAATGCCAGGAAACATCTTAGGACCCCGGGTACCCCTCACGGCACCTAATGGCATGTGTAAGTAGCATGATGGGGGGAAGCATCTCCGTAGGGTCTCTCTGGGCGGGCTGTAGACAAGGGACAAAGGCTTTATTCTCTAGGTGATCTATAGTTCGGCAGGTCCATGGACAGTGCAGCCTCTGGCAGTGGGTTCCAGAAGATCGGTTTGTGGTCAGTGCTCTTCAGCACCCCTGATGAGCAGGTGCACAGGTGGTGAGTGCAGATGCTTACAGTCGTTTCGCCATGTGTGCCATAGCCTTTATGGCACGCACTCTCGCCCCTGAGGTCTGTGGAGAGGCCAGGAAGACATTCCTCACCCACTCGTCTTTAAGCCTTAGGTCTAGCTTGAATCTTGTTAGACATACCGAGTTGCTGGTGGTTTTCCTACAGGAGCCTTTTATGGACACCGGGTTCAAAATGGAGGGTGCAAAGAAAGAAGAACCGGTTTAAGGCAGAAATCACAAGTCTCTCGTAGCTACTCTGGGATCTTGGTAGTAGCGGCTTAGACTCAGGAAGGCGTACTGATGGGCTGTGTTGAGAGGGAATGGGAGGTCCTAGCAGGCTCTGTGGAGAAGGCACGGCTGCTGCTGAGCAGTGTCTTTCTGACATACGTATGAAGCCAGGGCTTTTCTCTGGTACACTGTGGTCTCCCCCAACCCTCCAGAGGGTTGCTTCAGAAGTTCTGCCCTGCCCTTTACTCCTGTCGATCTTCTCGGAATGATCCCAAAATGCAAAATCTGTGATCCCGGTTCATTTACAAGTTCATGTATGTGCCAAGGAGTTAGCTCCTGTTCACAGTACAGAGCTAGGGCTCAAGAATTCCTGGTCTCCAGGAGCTTTAGTTGGGAAAACAAGAAATGAACAAGTAGATAGTAGTATATAGGATTTACAAGTTATCTGAGACTGTGAAGTGCTTTGAGTGCGCTGTAGCACTCGGGGAGACTTCCCAGCGCCAGGAGGCAGGCTGTACAAAGGCATGTCTCATTTCTCTCTGGGCCCCTAGGGGCTAGGACAGAGTAGGTGCAGGGAAGAAAGACAGCAGTATAGCTGGGTGTATAGGATTGTGACAGTAGAAAAACATCTCCCTTGAGTCCTTGGTCAACGATTGTAGTATAGCGGATACTTCTTTTCCTTGGCAAGAACACACTTGAGCTCACTGCCTTACAGGCAGTATACAGATGTGCCAGTCTGCCAAGACAGTTGACCAGTTTGCCATCTTAGTTGCAGAGATAATATCCTTGGTCTTTACCACTGTCCAGGATTTCATCCTGAAGGGCCCTGAGGGGAACACCTTGAGAATGTGGAGGGTTTCAGGTGCTTCCCTCCGCCTCCCCCCCCCCCCCCCCCCGCCCCCCACTCCTGCCACAAATGAGTGTTTCCAGGATTCCGAGCCGCTGACTTGGCTCTAGGTCCCAGGCAGGCCTCATTGAGTGAGGTGGTTCCCCTCTTCAGGTCTTAGTTTCCTCCACTGGAAAGATGACCCAAGGGATTAGATCAGCGGCCTTCAGAATGCTTTGAAGAGCTCTATCAGTTTGGTGGAAATCTCCTGGGGGGAAGGTTGGGTGAACTGACTGGTAAGCAAGGCTGTACTTGAATTATTTGTTTCATGTTTCCGTTTCTGACAAAATCAAGAGGTTTAAAAAACCCTGGATTAAATCATCTCTAGGGTTCCTTTGTACGCTAAGCAGCTAAAGTTGAAATAGGAAAGAGCCCCAGACACTCATACTAATTGTTCCCTTCAGGACCTGACCTAGTTTTGGCCAAAAATCCAAGGACTGCAGTTCAGGAGTTGCGGGGCCTCCCAGGACTGTCCAGCTTGTCAGCAGCTGCCTCGAGTGAAGCTCTCTGGCCCTGGTGGAGACACTTAATCAGCAAGAAGTTATTGATAATCTGTTTTGTGCCCACCTAGGCCAGGCACTGAGAGAGAAAGAAAAGAAGACACAGAACTTGCCCAGGAAGGAGCTTTATCATTTAACTGAAGAAATAAAATTAGCAGAGAGAACCATTAAAATGCAATAAAATCAAACTGTAATTAAGTTCTGCAAAGGTCTGGAGTGATTCTTGGAAGGGCTGGGCCGTGGAGGAGGTTGGGACAGATTCAGACACCTCACCAGGCGAGCCGCGACCCGGGGCTTCAGGGGGACCTGACCTGCATGGCCCACGGTGGCAGCAGCGCCTCGAAGGCTGCATGGATTGCCTGCCGTAAAGAAAATTACTTCCTCGGCCCTTTTTCTCTGACTGGGCTCTTTCCCAAGCCCTTGTGTTTCCAGCAATGACGAGTCCCTCTTGGCTGTGTTTGCAGATGCCCCTCCGCCGCCGCCGCCGCCGCCGCCGCCGCCCGCTGATGGAGTCCCTCCGCCTCCCGCTCCAGGCCCACCAGCCTCGGCCGCCCCCTAGCCCGGAGGATGCAGGCAGCGTCCACGCCCAGCGCCGGCAGCTGCAGGGGGATGATGAGACTTGTGCTCCGCGGCTTCCTCGGGTTTCTTTTAGGATTTTTCTTCTCGCAGCCCCAAGCACGCATCCCCTATTTCCCCGTCCCTCTCGCCAGCCCTCGCCATGCCGTGACGCGTGCTGTGTCAGGTCCTCCGCCGGCACTGGGTTGGGGGGGGGGTAGCCTGCGTCCCCCTGTCCTGGTGTGGGGTATACTGACCATTTCTCTGCAGGTCCTGTCAGCACGAGAAGTTCATGTATGTTGTTTCAGTGCTCTCCCCGCAGTGTTTGGCTTTGTCTGATGCTTACGTGGCTCATGCTTTAGAATCATTATGTTTTTTTTTTCTTTTGTCATTGTTGCTTTAAATGAGAGCATCTTAAGTTCATAGGAACCAAAAAAAAATGGTGATGGGCAGAGGAAATAGCCAGAAGGGACAAACCTAAAGGCATTATAAGTGACCTTATTTCTGCTAATCTGAGCTAAGATTGGTGCTGATGGTGAAGTTTCATGAGACTTTTGCCCCACATAGACGCACCAAAATTCAAAGAGATGGGGACAGGGTGGGACCCCACTGATTTTATTCCTGGTGAGGAATGGGAGGACCCCCGCCCCCCCTGCATGGCCCCTTTTGTACCTGGTAGGGGAGCGCATTAGAGCAGACCTACTCCTTCCCTGGGCCCACTGGTTCTGGCTTTTACTGTACAGATGATTTGTTGGATTAGGGGTGGGATCTGGGGAAGCGTTTCTTCCTTCCCTAGACTAACCAGGAACATTTGAGAGTCTAGGGACATGACTACCCACTGAGTCTAGTCCACTAGTCACTGCTTTGTACTCATTCTTTTTTCCTTCCCCCTCTTTAAAAAAAACCTTTAAAAAGGAAAAAAAAAAAAAAGTAAGTAGATAGTGCTAAACATTTTAGCTCATGGAACTTGGTTTAGGATGGCTGGGGGTTCAAGTCCCCAAACTACCTCTTGCAGTCCAGGGTGAGTGGGGTTTAGTGAAGCGGTACTTTAGGTTTGGGACGGGATTGGAGAAGTGGGCCGGGATCAAGGGCCTCTCGTCCCTTCCCCCTTCCCTTCCTGACATCTCACATTCCGTCTGTCGCAGGGCTGTCAGGGAGATGCTGGGGGGTTCCAAGGCACTAGTTGGCAATCAGAGCGTCATGCTTTGAGGGTTGGGGTACCCGGACTGAGAGATCGGAATGCCATTCCAGAGGAGGAGCCACAAACATGCCTTAACTCAAGCCCATTTCTGCCCCTGCTGATGAATTACTTGAGTTCTTGGTTTTCTCTTCCTGTCCTTGTTCCCTCCCCTCTATCCTTCCATGGATGGGGAAGGGTGTGTTTGGTGGATCTTGATTTCCAAAGCACCTGGCCTCTTCATGTCACATTCGCAAGTGGCAGTTTTATTATTTAGAATGCAAAGTGGAACACCTTTTGGATATCTTTTTCTATATATTCTGTAAAGCTTTACATACGAGAGGGTGTAGGGAGGTGTTTATAAAACACCTCAGAACTTCCTTTCTTAGTATCAGAAAGCAAAAAAAATAAATAAAACCACAATTAAGATTTGCCTTTCAAACCCTCAGGTGTTGCCTCTAACCAGGTGGCCCTGGTCACCCTCCGAGTACTGGAACCAAGGAAACCTTGTTCTTTTGCGTGTGTGTTCTGGACTCTTGGAGTGAAATGAGCTTGTTCCTGCTGGAGTTGAGTTCCAATGCATTTGCCTCCAGAAAGATCCCAGTGCCTTTTGACAATGGCCGGGGTGTTCCCTAATTCCCGCCAGTCTTTCCCAAAGGAAACTCATTCCAAATACTTACCTTTTCCACTGGGGTCTTAGAAGGAAAATGGAATTCTGGTTCATACTGTGGTCCCTTGTAACCTCAGGTCTTTAATGTGATCACTTTCAAATTTAAAAGATCCAGGTGGAAATATTTTTACTATGCTGATAACAATTCTACAGAATACCTGAATTCTTAACACTGTTATGTTTCAATATAAGTGGTGACTTTTTCTTTTCATGTCTTTGATCTGGTTTCGTTCCTGTAATAAAGCCACCCAATTTGGAGGGGGGGGTGGGAATAATATGTGGTTTTTGTACAAACGTGTTTCTCAGTGTGTTATTTTGGAAAAATGAAGGGAGGGGAGTTTTGGGAGATTAGAAGAAATTGATCAAGAAGATTTAATCTCCCTCTTTTTTAGTGAATAAATAGAACATTTCTGGATTCTAGTCCCATTCTCTGCATTCACACACTGATCTCTTCATGTGTCCTATGAGGAGCGTAAATACTCAGCCCCACCTGGTCCTGGTCGCAGTGAGTTCAGCGATTCGGGGCTTCCTGACCAACCACCTTGATGATGCTTAAGGAGCATACAGTTAAATGTGCCTTGCCCACTCTTTTCCATGGTCAAAGTGAAGAAAGAGGTGTGGCCAACATCCTGGCACCTCCAAGAGAATGAACAGTTTTGTTTGGCAAGCTAGAGCATGTCTGTCAGGATGCAGTTTAGACGGCCCCAAGTTGGACGCAGGCCTTGGGGGTAGTTGGTTCCATGAACCTTGATGTACTTCTAAGGACAGCCTTTGAGCATGTACAGGTGCAAACCCTGTGCAGAAAAAAGGAAGGAGCCATTGCTTTTGAGAGGCTCATGAACCCAGTGTAGCAAAAGCGGTGGATTCTGTGCAGAGTTGTGAACGCTTGACCCCTCGCAGAGGTGCGCTGGCCGGGTTGTGCTCTGCTGCCCAACCTGTTCCAACTTACCTGTAGCACAGGGTGCTAGGACCAGCAGGGTCTCCCAAAGTTCCTGTACTTCCCAGGGGTGATGAAGGAGGTTAATCCTTGACCCAAACTAAAGACTGGTTTATAAGCTTGAGTGTGAGTTCTTTTTAAAGTATAACAGGACATGTCTAATCAACCACTCTTCCACAGGTTCCTCAGATCCTTACTGTGGAGTGGTTCCCCCAAATGTAGTTATGGACAGTAGTTTGCCAACCTCAGGACAGATCAGGATCACCCATAGGATTGTTCACAGACAAGCTGCTCAGCCCCACCCTCAGAACTGATTGAACAGGTCTGGAGTGAGTTCTTGATATACTGTGTTTAGAGGGGGACAGAGGGAGAAGGAGAGAGAGAATCTTAAGTAGGCTTCATGCTGAGGCTCAGTCTCACCACCCTGAGATCATGACCCAAGCCGAAATCAAGAGTCAGATGCTTAACCGACTGAGCCACCCAGGCACCCCTGAAATACTGTTTTTAACATTTCCAGGGGGTCCTGATGCACGTGGGCAAGGGACCACCCTTTGAGAACCACTGGTTAGGAAGGTTGTGTGGTACAGCAAGATCTCTGTGGTTCCTGACAGTTCATTCTTTTTTTTTTTTTTTTAATTTGACAGAGATACAGTGACAGAGGGAACACAAGCAGGGGGAGTGGGAGAGGGAGAAGCAGGCTTCCCGCCGAGCAGGGAGCCCGACGCAGGGCTGATCCCAGAACCCTGGGATCATGACCTGACCTGAAGGCACATGCTTAACGACTGAGCCACCCAGGCACCCCTGTTTGTGTTGCTTTTAAGTGAGGTAGTGATATGGGTCATTCAAAACAACCCAGTATTTGAATTCTAAATAAACTCTGGATTTTTTTCCTCAGATTTGATTGCTAGTATATTAAAATAAATTTTCACAATTTGAGTCATATACTCAGTAAGAATAATGAAAACAGGTCAAGAAGTATGCTGAATGCTTGAGTTGAAGACCTTGTCAGGAATAATTTAGAGTCTTGCTATTTTAAAAGTGCTGTGTGGATGGCAGCATGGACATCATTGATTGCTTGTTAGGAATGCACGATCTCAGGTGCCATTGGAGGGCTACAGAATGAGAATCTGTAATATCCCTAGGGTTATGTACGCGCATTAGAATTTGAGAGATACTGATCTTTGTCTACTTTGTGTTTAATTTTGCGTAGTTTGAGATTTAGCTCTAAAATAATTAAACCCTCCAGCTATTTACCTATTTGTATAAATCTATTTGTTTACCTTAGATTTTTGTGTAAACTTCAGGACAGATTGCTGGAAGTATTATATATAAATGATGGAAAGTAACTGGGGGAGGCAACTCTACCTAGAGCAGTCATGGGAGTCCTTTGTGAGCAGGTAGCTGAACTGAGGCCAATACAACAAAGTGAGCCAGGCATATGAAGACCTAAGGAAGAAACATTTGGGGCAGAGACAGCAACAAATGCAAAGGCAAGAAGGCAGGAGAGGGCATATATAATCATAGATCAATGCTAAAATTATTTACTCCATGTTATAAATAAGATTTTATCCATGTTGATACATGCAGATTATTCATTTTCACATTGTATGGTGGGATAATCATATTAGTGAACATTTAAGTTATTCTAGTCATTTTAGGAATCCATGCTGCTATAAATATTCTGGTACATGCTTCTTAAATACATGTATGAGTTTCTTTGTAGTGGTTTTCAGCCATATTTGACCATGACCCAGAGAAAAAGCATTTTACAGCATGATTTGATTTCTGTGTGTACATGTGTCTATATATGTATATATGTATGTTACTGATTTCTTTTATTTTTTATTTTTATTTTTTTTTTTAATTTTATTTATTTGAGAGAATGAGAGAGAGAGAGAGAGCATGAGAGGGGGTTGGGTCACAGGGAGAAGCAGACTCCCTGCCGAGCAGGGAGCCCGATGCGGGGCTCGATCCCAGGACTCTGGGATCATGACCTGAGCCGAAGGCAGACACTTAACAACTGAGCCACCCAGGCACCCTGCTGACAGTTCATTCTGTGAGTTCCATTCGTCCAGTAAACATTTGAGGGCCTCTTAGGTGCCAGGCATTGGACCTTGCATGCAGTGAAGTCATAATTATGAATAAGGTAGGCAAGGCCCCTGCACTCCAGGCCACTTACATCCTTGTGGGGTGGGGGATACAAGACAATAAATAGTTAAT